AGGAGGTGGAGGAGGAGGAGGAGGAGGAGGAGGAGGCGGAAGAGGGTGGTGATAGCGATGATGGTGACAGCGATGGCGACGACAAGGCGGAGGGTTCGGGTAGCAGCGTGGCGGGCGGCGGGGACGGTGACGATGAGGAGGAATCGGACGATGCGGAGCCCCCCGGTGCCGCTCTCACCGGGGGTAACGGGGGTGATGGTGATGGGGACGGTTCTCCCATGGACGTGCTGGAGGAAGAGGAAGGGGGTGGTGGCGCGGAACCGGCCGCTGGTGTGGACCCCATGGAGGTGGAGGAGGAGGAGGAGGAAGAGGAAGTGGAGGAGGGGGAAGAGGAAGAGGAAGTGGAGGAGGAGGAAGAGGAAGAGGAAGTGGAGGAGGAGGAAGATGAGGAGAACGACGAGGCGGTGTTGCGGCGGCGGCTGCACGGGCTTGCGGAGGACGAAGGCAAGCCGGAGGCTGTCCGCAGGTGCGCGGTGGTGCTGCGCGAGATCGCCAGGCACCGGCTGGGCGGGGTCTTCCTGTTTCCCATGGACAGGATGCAGTCCCCCGAGTACTACGCCGTCATCGAAGAGCCGATCACGGTGCTGTCGCTGCTGGACTTTCTCGAGGGCTGGTCGTGCGGGGGCACCGCGGAAGCATCAGAGGGGGGGGAGTCCACGGCCGAGGCGGAGGCTGGGCTCGTGGATGAGTTCACCATCTCGGTGCGCAGGATGTGGGAGAACTGCTGGAGCTACAACCACGAGGGCACGAAGGTAATAGTCGGTGTTATGAGGCCGGTGACAATTTGCAGTGTGCGTCGAAAGCGGTCGGTTTGCTTTTATGTATGTTGCGTAGGCGATACACGGTACGATATTCGTCGAAGGTTTGCTGTGTGCTTCGATGTTGGCTTTTTGGCGATCGAAGGCTCGTGACGTGCTTGGGCATCGTTCGTTCCGCCGGCGACGGATGTTGTGGCACGGTTATATCATATTGTTGACGGTATACCATATTGTTGAAAGCGGTAACGAATCCAACCAACAATACTTGCTCGTTTGTAAACATTAGCTCTCGTTTTGTCGCTGCCAAACGTCCGAACGACCTGACTGTTGACGGTCGTGGCCCTTGCAGGCATGGCTGGCGGCCGTCCGCCTGTCGTCGGTGTTTGAGCGCCTCCTCCGCGAGTGGATCCTCCGGGCCACCCCGGCGCCCCCGGGACTCCCTCAGCTCCTCGGGAGCGAGGCTCGCCCTTGCTCCGCCTGTGGGGCCGTCGAAGACCCGTCCACAGCAGCAGAAGCAGCAGCAGCAGCAACACCGGACGTTCCGCTCGGAGACACCGGCATCAGCGGCGCTCCTACCACGAGCGGAAACGCTAGCCCTCCGGCGGCGGCGACAGCCGCCTCCGCCGCCGCTCTCGTGGCTACCGGCGAGGCCGCCGCACCGGCGACGGTAGTGTGCGACTTCTGCGACGCCACGTACCACCTGGGTTGCCTCCATCCCCCCCTCGCGCAGGTCCCGCGCGGGGAGTGGTTCTGCCCGGCGTGCGTCTGTCCGGGCACCGCCGCCGCCGGCGGGGGCGGGTGGGGCCAGGCGACGGGGGCGACTCTCGTCCGCCGGCCCCCCGAGGGAGGGTTCGGCTGCCGGTCTCGGTGGTCGGGAACCTCTGCCGGAGGCAACAAGAGCGGGGCAGCAGCAGCAAGGGCGCTGGCGAACGGTGCTGGGGGGGCAGCCGCAGATGGGAGCAGCAGCGGCTACGCTGGCGGCGGGGCGGGGGCGGTTGGGACGGCGGCGGCGGGGGTGGAACCTCCTCTGCTGTGCGGGTCCGGTAGCGGAGGGTCTCTGGAGAAGGACGGCCAAGCAAGGGAGGGCACCGTGGAGAGCGGCAGCGGGGTTGTGGGGGGTATGGGGGAGTGGGGGCCGTCGGAGGGGGTGCCGAAGGCGCTGGACTGGTCTCTGAGCCGACGAGCCCGGGAGTGCCTCGAGAGCGAGGACAATGCGCGCGTCCTGCACGACGCCCTGCGCATCCTTGGCCGGAGGGAGGGCGGGTGGCTGCCGTCGCCGACAGGGTGCTGGTCACCCGGGGAGTGGGTCGCGGTGCTGGCGGCGCTTGTGGCCATGGCGGTGGAGACGCACACCCTGAACCACTTCTTCTCGGACGCGGAGCAGCGGTGCGAGAACTTGAGGAAGAAGGCCGTGTCGGGGACGAAGATGAGCACCAGGTCTTTCCAGGCGAGTGTGTGTTGTCAGACGGCGGTGTCAAATGAAGGTTTTGGGGATCAATTTTTTCTTGTTTTGTTTTAGATGTACTACTTTTGTCGGTCGGTGTGGTTATTTTCTAAGAATGCATTTCAGAGAATCGAGAGACAACATTTCTGTCTGGAACCAATCTTTTTGCTGTCCAGACGAGTTCTGGCGGGCAGGGTCGGTGAAGGTTTTGAAGTCGTGTTTTTGAATACAGTATACTCATGTATGCGTCGTCGTGCGGTTATGTTTTCTAGCAGAGAACCGGGAGATGAGAAACAGTTTGGAACCACTTTGCATGCTCTTGTTGGGAGGTTCCGTCCTGTTGGCTTGCAGCGGTCGGCCTGCTATTTGCTCCTTTTGTCGCTGTTTTTGTCGACGTGCTTTTGCTAGCCGTGACGTTCCCACCGTGCTTGGATTTTCCTTATTTTTCTTGCGAACAGGGGATGCTTCTGAGCGTGGGGGGCAACGGTGCGGTGGAGTTCTGGCAGCGGCTGATGAAGAGTGTAGACGGCGAGATGGACGCGGTTAAGAACTGCGCCGACGAGGACGATGATGAGGTTCGTATAATGGGCGCACACCCACGAACTTAACAGCATATTTTCCAACCGCACTTGAGACTGGCATCTTCTCATTGGTCAGCTGGTGAGCGTGGTCGATTCTAACACTAAACCCACGCACGGAGACAAGACATTTATTTTGGTTCTGTGGAGACTGGCGTGTAGGCAACGTGAGTCGCCTGGCTAGCGCTGTCGATTCTGATCAGAGAGAACCGCGAGCACAAGCACGTTGGGCGCGAATACCGCGCTGCACACTGTACGTAAGCATGCGAATAGCGCGCGGGTGCAAGCCCACCGGTGCTGCTGCATCGATTGTGGTGCTGAGGAAGGACAAACTCTTGGCTAGGACATATATAGACGGCACGCGTTTCTTGTCCATGTTCCGAGCATGCGCGCGCATCTTCCTCTTCTGCGGCTCCTCCTGCTGCTGCAGCTGCTGCCGAGGCGGTTGTTGCTGTTGCTGTGTGGTTGGGTTCGTTGTCTCGCGGGGCGGGGGATCCGCGGATATTGTTGTGGGGTCAAAAATCCTCCCCGAGCCCCCGTCCTCACCGTCATGCTCTTGTACGCTGTCCTTTCCCTCCGCCCTCGGCGTGGGTGGTTAACGTGAACAGGAGGACGATGACTTCGGCAAGACCCCCGGCGTGTGCATCGTTTGCTGGTGTCCCACCGCCCACATCGACGCAAGCCAGGTGCGTGCTTACTGTAGCCGCGGTGGTGGTTGACGCCGCCGCCGCGTTGTTCGCCTAGGGTCGCAGGATGGGAGTAGTAGACGGCAGCGTACCATGGGGTTGTATGGTGGAATTTCTCATGTGACGGCTGCGCCGTTGGGGAAGCTAACACACAAAGACCGGACGGAACGGACAAGAGCCTAAAGCTTTACCATGGTAATACCATGGTATGGACCAACACCAACACCAAGGTGATAGAGGAACGGCGGCGACCACATAACGCCAGCTCGTGACTGTTGTTCCTCATGCCCGAACACGCAGATACTCATGTGCGACGGGTGCCAGGGCGAGGTCCACCTCAAGAAGTCGTGCTCGGGGTTCCGCCGCAAGCCGTCCGACGACACTCCGTTCTTCTGCGGCGGTTGCACGGCACGAAGAGACCGGCAGGCCCGGGTGGAGGCGGCGGCGGCGGCGGCGGCGGCGGCGGCGGCGGAGGCAGAGGGGGGGGGAGACGGCGGTAAGGAGGAAGCCGCGGGTGTCAAGGACGAGGTCAAGGAAGGCGTAGGGGACAAGGCTCCTGCGGCGGCTGCTGCGCCGGCTGCTGCGCCGGCTGCTGCGCCGGCGAAGAAGATGGAGTTCTGCGAGGAACCGGAAGACGAGCAAAGGAGAAAGAAGAAAGAGGCCGCGCTTAAGGTACGGTAGATGGGATAGTGGAGACGGGAAGATGGTGTGCAAAGGTTGTTGTTGAGTAGGCTGCGAAGAACATGGTCACCGTTGTCTTGGCTCATTTCCTCAGTCACTGAGATGGTGTGCGATGGTTGTTGGTGTTGGTGGGCAGCGAAGAAGACGGCCACCGTTGTCTTGAAACTTAACCTTTATCTTTTCCTCACTGCTGGCACGCTATTATTGAATCGCGTGTTGATTGATTGATACACGCAACTGGCAGTGCGGGAGAGGGGGAAGGGGAAACGTACTCGGAGATGGTGTGCAACGGCTGTTGTGTTGGCAGCGAAGGAGATAGACACCGCTGTCTTGACTCTTGAACTCGCTAGCACGGACGGCATGATCGTGTCGAGTGAGATGGTGTGCAAAGGTTCTTGGTAGGCGGCGAAAAAGATGGACATCGCGGCCTCTACTCTTTTCCTCTTGGCACGGCGGCAGAATCGTGTGGATTGATATATAACTGGCTCGCGTCCCTCTTGGAGGGCGGGGGGGGGGGGGGAGCATTCGTTGCTTCGTCCGACGAACTGATTCTAACGTATTATCGTTTTAAATCTCCCCGGCGTTGTTTTCCCCCCAAAAAAAAAGGGGGGAGCGAATCTTGGACTCCAAAAATTCGGGCCAAAAAGAGAAGGACCCGGGCCAGGAAACCCCCCGGGGCGAACCCAGTGGGAACCCCACCGCGGGGAAGGGGGAGGGGGGCGCCCCCGCTACCCGGGGGGGTGGGACCAAACGCAACAAGCGGGGTGGGAACTCCCTGGGAAGCCGCCCCCAAGGCGGGCAACCGGGGAAATAATGGCCGGGCACCAAAAAAAAAAAAGGGGCCCACAAAACC